TTAAAATAATTTAAAAATTAATATACATAATCCATATGAATAAAACTTTTAATTCAATAGTTAGTTTTTCAAAATATTAAAAAATAAAGTTTTATATATATTATCCAAAAAGATTTTAAAAACAATGTACAAAACATATTTCTTCCTAGGGCATTTAGGCTTCTACTGCTAATTTTTTATTTTTTGGGCTTTCAAAGGCTCATGAAATATGTCTTGAGTAGTGACTTCAGTTAATTTAGACCAGACATGGGTTAGAATTTAGGACTTACATATATTGTATTTTAACAATATGTTTTTTTAACTGAAGTTAAATTATTGGATTTTTAACAATTAACAATTCAATTTTAGCAGACCTAAGGAATGTGTCCCTTCTTTATTTATTCCCTTTTAAGGCACAGCATAAAGGCTTCAAAACATAGGTTAACGTAGCATCTAATGTTAGATTTAGTCTTGATCATTCCATTACATGTGCAAGAAGGGAAAAACGTAAATTAATCTCCTACATACCGGGGTTTGGTAATGAGCCGTTAAACTTATTAGAAGATAGAGATAATGCCTTTAAAGAATGAAGTGCCACAATAGATGGAGGAATGGCCCCGCTGAATTGATTTGAGCTCAAATCTAATATCTCCAATTTTGTAAAACCTATCAATAGATAAACAAAAATAATACAGTGTCAATCTAGATTCTCAAAGGGGCAAAGTAGTTAAATTGAACTTTGGAATTTGAATGGAGTGGTTAATCATTTAATACCTTGAACTGGCAAGTTTCCACTGAGGCTATTCCTACTCAAAATAAGCCCCTCCACATTGCTTAGGTTACCCAATTCTTGTACATGCATATGGTATATGGAGTTAGTGATGAAAAGGAAGAGACATCAGTTGTTAACCATAAAAATTATTAAATGGAGGAAGAGCTGACTGTGGAGCATTAATGCCCTGAGTTTGGTTCGTTAAAAATATAAAGGGACATTGGTAAAGAAAAGAAAAGAAAAATTAAAATATATAGTAGAAGAGGATGTTTGGGAAGACTTAAAAAACATTTACTTTAAAAGTAAATTTTTTTTTATAAATTTAAAATTTTGTTGGAAGAAAATTTAAAAATTGATTTTTAAAATAGTTTTAAAGTAAATTTTGAGAAATTTTAAATATGTAATTTTTTTCAAAACTTACTTAAAAGTCATTTTAAAAGTTAAATTTTGAATTTTCTTTTAATGAAAATTTTAATTTATGAGAAAAAAATTTGCTTTTAATATAAAATAAGGATCCACGTATATATAACTTTTACATACACTATTTATATAAAATTTTAATTATTATTTTTTTCACTATGAATAGTTGATATTTATATTTTTTATTTTAGCTTTTAAAGATAATAGTATTTTT